CAGGAGAAAGATGTAGGCTGGGAGGCCTCTCCTTTTCATGTTTTTCTGCCTAGTTTATATTCACTGGCAGCTGATTGGATTGTGCCCACCAGATTAAGATTGGATCTGCCTTCCCCAGTCCACTGACTCAAATGCTAATCTCTTTTGGTAGCATCCTCACAGACACACCCAGGATCGATACTTTATATCCTTCAATCCAGTCACGTTGACTCAAGTATGAACCATCACATATGCATGAAATATAAAAGAAGGCTGGGCTTGATGGCTCATGCCTGTAATCCTAGCACTTTGGGAGGCCAAGGCAGGCAGATCACGAGGTCAGGAGTTCGAGACCAGCCTGGCCAACGTGGAGAAACCCCGTCTCTACTAAAGATACAAAAAAATTAGCCGGGCATGGTTGTGGGCACCTGTAATCCCAGATACTCAGGAGGCTGAGGCAGGAGAATCACTTGAACCCAGGAGGCAGAGGTTGCAGTGAGCCGAGATCACACCACTGCACTCCAGCTTGGGTGACAGGGTGAAACTCCGTTTCAAAAAATAAAAAATTAAAAATTAAAAAAAGAATATTTTACAAAATTGTCATAATGTGCTATTGCTGAAATACAAAGGAGGGAAAGCAGCAAAAGTCAGTGTTCAAAGTCATATGTGCTGACCCAAGGCAATGCGGATTTCGTAGGGCTGCCAGGAATTAACCAATCACCACAAACCAGGAGACTTAAAACAACAGAAGCTTATTCTGTCACAGCTGTGGAGGCTGGAAGTCCAAATCAAGGTGCCAGCAGGGTTGGTTCATTTGGAGACACTGAGAAATAATCTGTTTCATGCCTTTCTCCTGGCTTACGGTGGTTCCTGGTAACTCTTGGCATTCCTTGGATTGCAGATGCATCAACCAAATCTCTGCCTCCATCTTCACATCACCCCCTTTTCTGTGTGTCTTCTTTCATGTCCCATATAAGAATATTTGTCATTGAATTTAGGGCCCACCCTCATCCAGGATTGTCTCATCTTGAGATTCTTAATTACATCTGCAGAGACCTATTTCCAGATACGGTTACAGTCACAGGTATTGGGGGCTGGGACTTGAGCATCTCTTTTGGGGGCTACTATTCAATAACTTCAGTCCACTTTATGACACCCAAATTTCATGCCCATTTCACTTGCAAAATACATTCGCCTAACACCAGCATTCCCAAAAGCCTCAGCCTGTGACTGCATCCTAAGTCTAATATGTCACTGAAGTATCATCAGCTCAAATGTCCCAAATCTCATCATCTAACTCATTTCCATCTTGTATGCATGAAACTCAAGGTATGATCCATTTTGGGACAAAGTCCTCTCCATTTGTAAAACTAGAAAACAAATTAATTGGCTGGGTCCAGTGGTTCACACCTGTAGTCTCAGCACTTTGGGAGGTCAAGGCAGGAGGATTACTTGAGCCCAGGAGTTTGAGACCAGTCTGGGCAACATAGTGAGACCCTGCCTCTACAAAAAACTTAAAAATTAGCCAGGTGGGCTGGGTGCAGTGGCTCACACCTGTAATCCCAGCACTTTGGGAGGGTGAGGCAGGTGGATCATCTGAGGTCAGGAGTTCAAGACCAGCCTGGCCAACATGGTGAAGCCACGTCTCTACTAAAAATACAAGAATTAGCTGGGTATGGTGGCCTGCACCTGTAATCTCACCTATTCAGGAGGCTGAGGCAGGATAATCACTTGGACCCAGGAGATGGAGGCTGCAGGGAGCTGAGATCATGCCATTGTACTCCAGCCTGGGTAACAGAGCGAGACTCCATCTCAAAAAAATAAAAATAAAATAAAATTAGCCGGATGTGGTAGTGCATGCCTATAGTCACAACCTCCTCCAGGAGGCTTAGGCTGGAAGATCATCTGAGCCCTGGAGGCTGAGGCTGCAGTGAGCTGTGGTCATGCCACTGCACTTTAGCCTGGACAACAGAACAAGACAGAAACAAAACATAGAAAGAAAGAGAGAGAAAGAAAGAAAAAAGAAAGAGATGAAAGAAAGGAAAGAAAGAGGAAGAAAGGGAAAGAAGAAGAAAGAGAAAGAAAAAAGAGGAAAGAAAAGAAAGAAAAAGCAGAAAGAAAGAAAAAGAAAGAAAGAAAAGTAAGCTAGAGCAATCTGTTTTCAAAATACAATGGCAGAGGACAAGCATAAGTAAGTCATTCCTGGCCAGGTGTGGTGGCTCATGCCTATAATCCCAGCACTTTGGGAGGCTGAGGCAGGAGGCTCTCTTGGGCCCAGGAGTTTGAGGCCAACCTGGGCAAGTGAGACCCTGTTTCTATTTTAAAAATAAATTTAAAAAAAAATAAACTTTTTTTAAAACGTAAGTCATTCCTGTACCAACAAAGAGAAGCTGGAAGGAACAAAGGGGTCACCATTCCAAGCAAGTTTCAAATCCAGCAGGGGAAATTCCATTAGGTTTCAAAGCCTGAGAAGAATCCTCCGTGGCTCACTCCCCTGCCCACTGGGCCCACAGAGGCTCCATCAGCCCCTGCCTCTAGGCCTGCCTCTCTGGCCGCTGCCTCTGCATCCATGGCTTTGCCTGAGTCACTCTTGCTTTTCCTTGAAGGTTAGCATGTGTTTGTAGCTAAGTAGCTCTATTAGCCTATTTCCTCCCTGTAGAATCTCAGAAGTCTCACAGCTATTTTCATTTTCCATTTCATCTTATCTCTGTCCTTTTCTGTACAAGCTAGCAGTGTTTCTGCATGTGTAACGGCCTCAGAAACTTTGTAGGCCCCCTTTGTATCTCAAGGGTGTCCATTCTCGATCACTCCATCTCTATTTCTAGCTTCTTTTGGGATGGTTAATTGGGTCCATGAGTCACACACCTAATCTCTCTAGCAAAATGTTGTCCAGCCACACCCTTGACCTTCTCCCTGGGGCACGCTTTTTCTACAATAAGTTTCCTAATTTAAGCATCCTTTGTGAAGTAGGTAGGCTGAGAACCTCCCAAATAAAAAAGTGCTGGTTTCTCTTGGCTTAACAGCTCTTTCTTCAGTTTATTTTCTCGGTCATTTTCCTATAAGTACAAAGAGAAACCAGGCCACACCTTCAACACTTTGCTTGGAAATCTCCTCAGCTAAGTATCTAAGTTCTTCATAGCTTTCGAGTTGTTTCCACTCAGCAGTAGAAAACAATTCATCCAAACCTCTGCCACTTTATAATGATGACCTTTCTTCCACTTTCTAATAACACGTTTCTCATTTCCTTCTGAGACCTTACCAGAAGCATCTTTAACATTCATATTTCTACCAGCTTTTCATTCATGATATGTATACAGTGGGCTCTCCCTATCTGTGGGTTTCACATCCATGGATTCAACCACTACAGATCAAAAATATTCAGGGAAAAAACAATTTAAAAATACAACAGTAAAAATAAAATAATAAAAAGCAATACAGGCCAGGCATGGTGGCTCACACTTATAATCCCAGCACTTTGGGACAAAAGGATTGCTTGAAGCTAAGAGTTCGAGACCAGCTTGGGAACAAAGCAAGACCTCATCTCTACAAATAATAATAATTAAAAAATTAGCCAGGCACACTGGCATGTGTCTGTAGTCCCAGTTACTTGGAAAGCTGATGCAGGAAGATTGCTTGAACCCAGGAGTTCAAGGCTGTGGTGAGCTATGATTGCACGACTGCACTCCAGCCTGGGTGACAGAGCAAGACCCCATCTTGGCGGGGGGCGGGGGAAGAAAAAACCCAACAAGACAGGATAACAACTATTTATATAGCATCTACATTATATTAGGCATTATAAGTAATCTAAAGGTGATTTAAAGTATACAAGAGGATACGTATGGGTTATACGCACATCTACACCATTTTACAGCAGAGATTTAACAATTCATGAATTTTGATATCCAGCAGGGTCCTGGGACCAGTCCCCTGGGATACAGAGGCATGACTATATTCTCTAGGGCAATAGAAGCTTTCTTTTCTATGCTGTTCACGACCTCTGAGCCCTTACCAGAATCATCTTTGAAGTTCATATTTCTGCCAGTCATGTCTTCAAGGAAATCTACTAGGCTTTTTCTATTATGTGCCTTGACATTCTCCCAGCCTCTACCCATTACCCAATTCCAAAGTCTCTACCACATTTTTAGGTATGTGTTATAGCAGCACCCCCTTCCCAGTACCAAAATCTGTGTTAGTTTCCTAGGACTCCTGTAACAACCACACGCAGGTGGCTTTAAACAGTAGAAGTGTGTGCTCTTATGGATGCACAAGTTCAAAACCCAGGTGGTGTCAGGGTTGGCTCCTTTTGGAGGCTCTAAGGGAGAATCTGTTCCAGGCTTCTCTCCTAACTTCTGGTTATTGCTGGCAATCCTTGGCATTTTTTTCTGAGTAAACGAACCACTCCAATTTCTGCCTCCCTTTTCATGTCACCTCTACCCTGTGTGTCATCTTCTTGTCTTCTGTCTCTTATGAGGACACCCATTATTGGATTAGGGCCCACTCTAATTCAGGATGATCTCATATTTCTTTTCTTTTCTTTTTTTTTTTTTTTTTTTGATACTGAGTCTTACTCTGTCACCCAGGCTGGAGTACAGTGGCACAATCTCTGCTCACTGCAACCTCCGCCTCCTGGGTTCAAGCAATTCTCTTGCCTCAGTGTCCCAAGTAGCTGGGACTACAGGTGTGTGCCACCATGCCCAGCTAAATTTTGTACTTTTAGTAGAGACAGGGTTTCACCATGTTGGTCAGTCTGGTCTTGAACTCCTGACCTCGTGATCCACCCACCTCGGCCTCTCAAAGTGCCAGGATTACAGGCGTGAGCCACCGCGCCCGGCAATGATCTCATATTTCTAAATAAGGTTACACTCTCGATACCTGGGGTTGGTACTTGGACATATCTTTGAGGGATCACTGTTCAGCCCACTACAGGCAGACTTCCTGTAGAAGGTAAATGTTAAGGGTTTGGGATGGAAAAGCTGGGTGGGCAATAAGGCACTTGTCAGAGCTCTGTTTTCCCATGGCAGCAGGAACGCCCCAAGAGTGCTGTGTTCCCTGGCGAGGGGAAGGTCAAGATGAGCGTGGAGGAGCAGATTGACCGAATGCGGCGGCACCAGAGTGGCTCCATGAAGGAGAAGAGGAGAAGCCTGCAGCTCCCGGCCAGCCCGGCCCCCGAGCCCAGTCCCCGGCCAGCCTACAAAGTGGTAATGCCTTCCCAGCTACCCACAGGCGTGAGCCTGGCATCTGCCAAACACTGCCCACTCCCAGGGCTTGGCCAGTCTGGGCTTGGGGGGTTTGAGAGGAAAGAGAGGGGAAAGGACCCAAGCTGGGCAGCTGGGAGAGCCGGAGAGTTCTCTCCCCCACCGGCAGAAGAGTCCTTCAAGTGTTGACTTTTTCTTGTTTAAGGAAAATAACTCACAAAAAGGAATGCCTTAATTATTTTTGTTGAAATGAATTATACAAAATTCACTTACTAGAGAATAGTACAGAATTCACCACGTGGAAACAGCTGTCACTGGCCAGGTGCAGTGTCTCATGCCTGTAATCCCAGCACTTTGGGAGGCTGAGGCAGGCCAACATGGTGAAACCCCATCTCTATAAAAATACAAAAATCAGCTGGGTGTGGTGGCACAGCCCTGTAATCCCAGCTACTCGGGAGGCTGAGGTAGAATTGTTTGAACCCGGGAGAAGGAGGTTGCAGTGAGCTGAGATCACACCACTGCACTCCAGCCTGGGCGACAGAGCAAGACTCTGTCTCAGTAAATAAATAAATAAATATTTTAAAAATAAAAATAAATAGTCATCACTTATACATGTTTCTGGAGCACCTCCTCTGTTCCTAGCATTGGGCTGGCTGCTAGGAAGATAATCACAGTAGCTCACCATCGCATGGCACAGTATCATCTACAAACCCCTTTCATGTTACTTTATTTAATCCTTGTAACAACATTGGGTTAGGAATTATTATCCCTGTTCTGCAGATGGGGAAACAAAGTGAAGAGAAATGAAAGGGTTCCTGGGCTACACAGCTGTTACGTACAGAGCTGGGAGTGGCCCAAGACATTGTTTCACTTTTCTTTCTACTAAATTTTAGAAATATGGAAAAATTATGACTTGTAAGTCCTGTCCTCAACAGCTTACATTCTAGTTGATGGATTAGAACTCCTATCATGTGAAATCCTTAGAAGTTAGCCAGGTGTGGTTGGCTTATGCCTGTAATCCTAGCACTTTGGGAGGCCAAGGTGGGAGGATCGTTTGAGACCAGGAGTCTGAGACCAACCTGACAACAAAGCAAGACCCTGTATCTATAAAAACATGTTTAAAAACTACCTGGGCATGGTGGTGTGCACCTACAGTCCCAGCTACTTGGGAAGAGGCTGGGATGGGAGGACTCAAGGCCAGGAGTTCGAGATTACAGCAAGCTATGATTCTGTCACTGTACAGCAGGAGCGACAGCAAGATCTTGTTTCGTAAAAAATAAAAAGAAGAAATCAAAACAAGTCACATTAATTCAACTGCCCAAAATACACAGCACAGAATGTGAATACAGGGTAGGGCAGGATGGGGAACGGCAAGAACTGACAAGAGATGTTGCTGAGAAGTCACCTCTAGAGCCTAGCGGGTGGGCAGACTTTGGGCCAGCAGAAAGGAAGGAGGATAGTTCTGCAGTGGGGTGCGGTGGGAACAGTGGGGTGGCAGCTGGGTCAGGCGGGCTGGGAAGGGAGCGGAGGCCAGGGCATGGTTAGAGCTGCCGGGAGGCCTGGGTAGCTGTGGTGCCATCATGGCACTGGTGTCCCCTAGGTGCGCCGCCACCGCAGCATCCACGAGGTGGACATCTCCAACCTGGAGGCAGCCCTGCGGGCAGAGGAGCCTGGCGGGCGGACCTACGAGACACCCCGGGAGGAAATCGCCCGGCTTCGCAAAATGGAACTAGAGCCCCAGCACTATGACGTGGACATCAATAAGGAGGTGAGTGGAACCAGGAAGGGCTGGAGCAGGAGACCCTGGGAGGGGACATAGGTGGTGACCCCAACCCCTCCATAGCTCTCCACTCCAGACAAAGTCCTCATCCCCGAGCGGTACATTGACCTGGAGCCTGACACTCCCCTGAGCCCTGAGGAGTTGAAGGAGAAGCAGAAGAAGGTGGAGAGGATCAAGACGCTCATTGCCAAATCCAGGTAACCGTCTGGGAGAGCCTCTACTTCCTCTGCCCACCCTGGCACCTAGGACACCTGGGCCACTAGAAGTCGCTGAGGGCACAGAGCCTCCCCAGGGGAGAGCACATTGAGGTGGTGGCTCCAGGCAGCAGCAGGGCCCAGCCACCAGCAGAGGCAGGGATGCGGCCGTCGGGTGCTGGTAAGACCTGCTGGCTCATGCACATCACACCATCAAGACAAAACCGAAGGCTCGCCCTCTGCTGACTTCTTTCCCCTTCCAGGCTGCCCTAAATGCTCACTTGAACCTTTTAATTCATTTGAGAACATTGAGGGAAGGGGTCCCAACCTGTGTTTTTCCAGGGTCCCATTCACTCCTAGCGACAGCCTTGCTGGGAACCAGAGACTGCATATTCACGGGTCCCTGGCCCTCCCTGCCAACCTCAGTCTGCAGGCCCCCACAAGCCACTTGGACCATCCTGTCCCTCCCTCCATTTCTGTGTGTCTGTGCCTCTTCAGTATGCAGAACGTGGTGCCCATCGGCGAGGGGGACTCTGTGGACGTGCCCCAGGACTCAGAGAGCCAGCTGCAGGAGCAGGAGAAGCGGATTGAAATCTCCTGCGCCCTGGCGACCGAGGCCTCCCGCAGGGGCCGCATGCTGTCTGGTGAGAGGGGCTGGGCCTCGCTCCACCCTGCCAGGGAAACCAGCAGACCAGGTGTAGGGGAGGACGCGTGGCACTGCTTCGGGGGGGCAGGAGCAGAGAGGTATCAGGTTGAGGAGATGCTCCTGGAGGTTGAGATGAGCATCTATTGAGCACCAGGTACTGTGCTAGGCTCAGGGAGGTGCAAAGGGACCAGAGTTGCTGACATCCAGGAGCTCAGAGCTGGGATGATGCTTACAGTCAGTGCAGGGAGTCATGGCCGGAAGCCATGCAGAGCACGGGAAGCCATTCTGCCCGGGCAGGTCAGGGAAAGGCGCAGAGAAAAAATGATAACTGAGTTTGACAGAGAAAGGTAAAAATATTTCTCAGTTGCAGGGAGAGGGCCAGCTATTCCAGAGTGTCCTTTCATTTCCCTTTCTTGCTGCATGCAAATAGGAAGAATCAAAAAAGATGGTGCAGGCAAAGAGTTGAGAGTGATACAATGAGCACCTTGGCTATTGATCCAAACCTACCTTTCTGCTAAGAAAAGGTGACTGTGAGGAGCTGACCTCACGCTGATGCAAAGGCTACCAGGTCCTGGCTAGAGGCTGATAGGGTTGAGACCAACAGGGTCAGCTTCTACTCAGCCTGAGCTACCATCCCAGAATAGATGAAAATGTTGTTGATCTTTTAAGAATGAAAGAGAGTCTATATGAATGGGAAAATTCAAGAGAAAGGAGAGACAGTGGGTAAGTCAAGGAGCCTAGGAAACTGTTCTCCTCCTCAAGATGAAGGTGCTTAGGATAGAGAGGTAGAGTGAGAGTGAGAGCTTCGAAGCCCGCGGTTAGAGGAATGATTCGGAAGGGGGAGCCATAGCGGGAGACAGCATTGGCAGAGAGGAGCGAGAGCAGGTGTCGGGCCTCAGGTACAGCAGCCCAGGCAGGAATCGGGCCGGGAGCAGGTCAGAAGCGTGGCTCGGAACAAAGTGGAAAGGCTGGTGTTTCATGTTGGTGATTAAGGAGGGTGCACATTCTGGTGCTCTGAGGTTCCATTTCCTCATCTGTGAAATTCAAATCAAAATTCCTGCCTCCAGTTCTGGTGGCGTGAGGATCGGAAACAATGTGTGCCAAGCACCTAGCACAGTGCCTGGCATTCAACAAGTGCTCAATACATGCTCACAGCTGTAGTAGTGGTGACAGTAGCAGTAGCACTGTGATGCTGGTAGTTGTAGTTGAAATAGCAATAGCTGAAGTAGAAATAGAAACTATTTGTCATTTTGCTAATTGTTTTAAATATGGATGTTTTCAGAAGCCAGAAGATTTTAGCTACGGCAAAGAGGATTTAAGTAAGCCTTAACGAAGAACCTTCTGCCAGTTAAGGTGTCATGGACTTTAGCATGGGTGGCCAGGGAGAGACTTGGAGGTATTTCAGGGAGAGGCTGTCTTTAGGCTGGAGCTGAGGGGAAGAGAAGGGATCCTGCAGCCAAAAGGCAGCAAAACCAGTTTGGCCACAAGGAAGCAGGCCTCTGTTGAACCTCCCTGTAGTTTACCTGCAAAATGAACTTGAACCTTCCAAAGATCAGATTCCACATGCTCTGGGCGAAAGGCAACTTCCTGTTTTCAAGGGTTACAGAGACAAGGCTGGTCTAAAAACTTTGCTCTGCTCCAGCCCCAGCCCCCGGCCCTCCCTACTAGTTCCTTAGCCTAGGTTCTGTGAAAACAAAACCTACCCAGCCTGTCCGATTTCCATCTCATCAGGGTCTGTGTGCTGAAACCAAACGGTCACCTTGCTTTTGCCAAAACCTCAACTATTTAAAAAAATGGCTGTGGCAGGGCCAGACCTCAGACTTAGCCCACCGTCCCAACTGCCCCTGGCCTGTGGCCCATCTCCTCAGAGCTACAGCCCTGCCAGGCACAGCAAACCTGGTCCTGGGCACGTACAGGGAGGGCACAGGTTCACACCCTGGACAGTGTGTGTGTGGCAGTGCTGGGCACAGGTCATGCGCACAGTGTGCAGCGGGTACAGCGTGTAGAGTTCAGTGCCGCGTGTGGCATGTGGCACGGGCAGAGTAATCAGTGAGGAATGCTGTCATGCTTGCAAATTCACCCAGTGCGTGCAGACTCAGGTATGTAATATGTGGGAAGTTGTGACATTTTTGAGTGTGTACGTGTGGCGTGGATGTCATGTGCAGTGTCTGGATCTGGTGATGTTTGTAGATACACGCATTTATTTGTGTGTATTCAAGTGTGCAGTGTGGGGGTAGAGGAAATGTTGGAGTACAAATGTGGGAATGTGTGCATCTATGCAAAATTTCTAAGGATGTTGTGTGGAGACCCATTACTTGTGAGTCCAGCTAGTATTTGGTAAGCCCGTGGAGCATAAATGTACATGTATGTGAGTGTACAATATATCAGTGGAGGTTGTGTTTATGAATGCATGTATTTACGTGTGACTGGCTTTTCTGCAGTATGGGAAATGATAAAGCGTATTTGTGTATATGTTGTGTACAGTATATATATTGCAATATGGTGAACGTAGGTCCGTGTGCACAGGCTGGGAGAAAGCACAGTGTCGTGAATGTGAGTATGTGTGACTGATTGCTGCACGCACATGGTACTTGTGAGTGCACACATTATAATATCGCATCTGTATGATACACATCTGCAGCATATGTGAATTTTAACTATTTTGATGGATCTATTTCTAATATAGGTGGAGTATTTTTCTGCCTTCTTAACAAAGTTCTGTTTTCATAGGACCTTTTCTTGCTCATGATTATCATTATAAATATCTTTATTTTGCTGATCTCTGTTAAAGGAATGCCCGTAGGGGCTACAGTGGACATAGATCTGTTTGTAGCTATGCTAAATATTCCCCAGCTGTCACGCTTTTAAAGCTGTATGTCTGCTTTTTATAAAACATTTTCTTTCCTCAATCATGCTTTCTTATAGATGTCAGTGGGCCTCCCAATTTCTCCGTGTCTTCGAATTTTCCCATTTCTAATCTCCCCTGGGCTAGAAACCCAGCGAGTCAACACCTATTAGAACTGTGTATAAATAAGAGTAACTGGACTCATGAGGGGTCCCTATGAGTAAATTATGAGGGCTTCACTGCATGCCATGGAGGCTGTAACCTCTGTGTTGGCTTCCCTGAGATATCTTTTGCTTCGTTTTTTGTTTTCTTGGCTGTTTTAGAAGCTGAGACTGCTCGATGACTAACCCTTGGGTCGGTGATGTACATATGCACACGAATGTGTGTTTGAAAGTGTTTGTGGGTGTATTTGCACATGAAGTTACAAGTGTTGGCTCACATGGAAGGGCACAGGCTTGGAAATGCACAAATACACATATCTGAGCCTTGTGCAATGAGCATAATGATATGGTGTTGCCACTTACCACGCACAAACTTGCGTATAGGCAGACAACTTCACATCCACGTGAGAGCTACGTGTGTTCCACGCACATGTAGGTGTGTTAGATATGTAATTACAGGAGCCGCCTTGGCCCTTTCTCTTGCACAGAGGGTAGGGAAGATGAGGTCCAGGGTAGGGTGGGGAGGAGGGTGGGAAGTTCACTGCTGGGACCCCTCTCTTGGAGGAAGTGCAGTATGACCCTGGCTGAGGTCTGGTTCCTTTCTGAGCCTGAGTGAGGATGTTGTTCTCTGCCATCCTCCTGCCTCGCGGCTACAGTGAGGGTCTGGAGACTGCATAGAGCTTGTCCCCAGTAATCAGTCCCCGCTTCTCATTGTCCTTCCACTTTGCTGTTCTTAACATGGAATAATAATGATAATAGAGTAAAATCTCATTAATTCAAACATCACTTCAGGCTTGTCTCGATTTGCTCAGGGGTGGACCCAGGTTTGTCTTTACTGGACTGATGAAAAGGGGGTCTCAAGTGTTAGCAGGGAACATGTTTACAAGCCGTGACTGTGCCAAGTTAACAGACCTCTCTTTAAGTTTATCAGAAATCTCTGTTTTTGTGACATTGGTTAACATGGTGGTCCCTTCACTTCTTTTCATTAAATGGGGCCCGATGGTTTGGATTAGTACGATTTTACGGCACTAATTTAGTGTGATTTTAGTAATCACACTAATTTAGTGTGATTTTACTGCACAATGATAATGATTAATATCATTATCATTAGTGACACCGCCGTGTATAAGGTGCCACTCCCTGGTTCTATCGGCACAGTAGCGGAGAAGTGTGTGAATCTCCCCATTGTGTGAATGGGAGGGGAGCTCTTGGCCCAGAGAGGGCCTGGCCTTACAGTCACACTGGTTCTCAGCAGAGCCTAGATTCCGCCAGCTCTCCTCTGGGGCCTCACACTCTCCTCCATGGCGCCCTGGGAACGAGGACAGCTTGGCCTAGCTTGAGCAAGCTCCAAGCTCAGCGCTTTCTCTCTGCTTGCCTCCCTGCCTCGCTCCCCGCCTGGGGAGGGGCTCGCTTGCTCTGGGTGCCCACCCTCCTCCCCCACCCACCCCCATTCACCTCCCTGTTCATTTCTGTTTCCAGTGCAATGTGCCACCCCAAGCCCTCCCACCTCCCCTGCTTCCCCGACTCCTCCAGCCAACCCCCTGTCGTCTGAATCCCCACGGGGCGCCGACAGCAGCCATACCATGCGGGTCTGAGCTCTGACGTAAGCACTTTTCGACTGTATTTCATCCACCTGGGGAGTGGGGCCCCTTCCTCCACCCCCATTAAGCCATCTATGCCCTCTCATTTTGGTATTGCTTCTCCCCTACCCCAGCGCCCTATGCCACTCCTCCCCACCCTCCATCCATCCATCCATCCATGCATCCATCCGTCCGTCCGTCCATCCATCCATCCACCCATCCATCCAGCTTCCCCACGCAGTGCTGGGCTGGAGCCGGCTGGCAGGGCCGCCTCTTGGATGTTGTAATGCCCATGGCCTTTGCTTCTCCAGAAGCAGACAGGGAATGGAGCCGAGACCTCACCTGTCTGCTCTCAGGGAAGGCTCTTCCCTGACACCTCACCCCTGTGCCTCCTGTCTGCTGACAAGCTTTCCATCTGTTGAGATATACAGATGCAGAACCTTCAAAAGCCCCCAAAAGCTGTTTCTCCACTCCCAGATCTTATTATAATTTAAAATAACATTGATAACTACAGCCAAATTCTGTGAACCCTTCCCTTCCCCAGCCCACAGCCGCTCACTCTCAGTCAAGTAGAAAAAAACAATGACTTCCTTTCCTTTGTTCCCCTCTCAGGTTGAGGGACCCGGGTGGTTTCTGCCAGGTTTTTGCCGGATGAGGCTTCTTCCTCCAGGGGAGGTTGGCTGGAGTCCTTGCTCCTCTCTGCAGCCCTCTTCTCACCCCATTTCTCTTTTCTCTAGTGCAAGCCCTGGCTGAGGCCAATGCTGTGAAGCTCCACAGAGCCACGTTCTGAAGCCGTCCTCTGCCCACCTGGGGTCCTGGCTCCCCATCCTGGCCCCCTGCCCCTGCACTCTCATGGGAATGCCGCAGGGAGCCAGGCTGGGGCCATGGGCTGCTGCCGAGAGCGTGGATGCCTGGGTGTCCACACACCTACCACGCCTAGCCCTGGAGTCCTCACTACTCACACAGTGGTCCTGGGCCAGGGCTGAGATGGCAGTGGAGAGTGCCATCCTTGCTGATGCCCAGGTCACAGGGAGCCTCAGCCTGGCCCTGGCTGGGGTTGTGGTGACTCCAGGGGAACATTCCCTGATGGGGGACATGCCACGGTGGAGAACATGCCCGTGGCTACCTTAGGTCAGGACTAGAGGTGAAGAGGAGATGGACACTGCCTCTTGGAGCCAGCCTGACATCAAGAACAGCACCTGTCATCACCCCTATCCTCATCAGCCCCACCCTGCTGCCCCAGCTGGACCCAGGGCTTCGACACAAACCCAGTGCTTTGCTTATGGGTGCTCGCTGGGATCCAGTGAAGACTGACCACCCTGCTTGAGCCAAAGACAAGGTGATGAGAGATGGGGAGAGGCTACTGGCTCCCAGAGGAAACAGTGCTGGCTGTGGCTAAAGAAGAGCAGGTCTGTGCAGCGTCTGAGGGCAGGTTGGGAAGGGTAGCAGAGAGTTAAAGACAGAAGGAGAGAGAAAGAGAGAGAGAGATCCTCAGAGTGGGAGGAGGGAGAAGCAGCAGGACATGTTGGCAAGTAAAGTGGGAAAGAGGGAGATTGGAAAGGGGGTATCGGATTGGTTTCCCCAGGTGGAGCCTTAGGCTAGTGCCCGGTGCAGTGCCAGACTGTCACCTCTACTCCTCCCACCTCGTTCCCAGGAGGACCCACCAGTGGAGCACCTGGCAGCCTCAGTGGAGATGCTTGGTGTGGGGATCAGGGTGAAGGGGGTTGAATAGCAGCTGCCTGGGAGATGGCTGTAGTAGGTCTGCAGCTGGCGTCTGCCTCCCCGTCCTGGGGTAAGGAGCAAAGAGAAGGACTTGTCTTACGCAGGGTGTGGTCAGCTTCAGGGACTTACCTACCCAGTTCCATGATATTTCTTGCCCTGTTCCCCCTGGAATGTGCAGTGGGCCAGCTGAGAGCATGCCTTGAGGAGAGGGGGTGAGGTCACAATCTGGGAGGCCAGATTCCAGGACCCTCCCCCATCCCAGGCATCCCACACGAGGACTGGCTGAGGCTAGGCGCTCTCACAATCCACCTGCCCAGGGAGGCCGGTGGGGGAGAGACAATAAGGCAAAGTGAATTCTTTCTCGGCTCTACCCACCTGGAAATGAATGTAGCCAGAGAGGAGGACTTAGCGAAGCTGAAGACGCCCTGGCCCCTCGGCCTTCTGTCTGCTAGAGTTGCCACCAGAGGCTTCAGCCTGACCTCCAGCAGTCCCAAGAACACCTACTAATTCCTCTCCACTCCCTCATGGCTGGGACAGTTACTGGTTCATATGCAAGTAAAGATGACAGTTTACTCAACAAATATTTATCGAGCACCTTTTATGTACCAGGCACTGTTCTAGGTGCTTAGGATATTCTCATGTTTCTGAGGGATTACAGCCCGGGAGGCGCCCAGCGATCTTCACTTCTAGCAGGTTTTGTAAACGTGACCCTTGGCTCTATTTCCCATCCTCACAGTTCAAGCACCCCAAACCTGCCCTTTCTCCCCTGCAGACTGGCAGGTGGGATTGGCTCCCAGGTCATCTCCTCTCCCTCTTTCTGCCACGCCTTTCTCCCTCCACAGGAAACAGGCTTTTCAGGGCCTTCCATGCCTGCCGCTTTGTCCATCTCTTTTTTTTTTTAAGTAATATTTTTTAGAAATACGTGTAAAATACCAAGAAATAATGTCTGCACCTCTGCCACCTCTCTCTCACCTCTTATTTCATAAAGCTGGCTCTTTATGTTGCTTTACATGCCTTAATATATGTTTTATGGAGATTATACATATTATAGATCTATATATGTAATCTATTTGTTTGGATGTCTGATCTTTTCCTGCAGTTCCCGCCCAGGCCCGTTTTTCTCTCCCATATTTTCCACATCGCTCCTCGCATATCAAGGCCATACCCCTTGCCTTTTTGATCCAAAGAAGGGGAGAGGAAAGACTTATTTTAAGACAGATCTATTTTATGCTTTTGTTTTAAAAAAGCAAATCTATTTTCAAAATGTGCAATGTCTGAATGGAATGGGCACACGAGGTGAGGAGATGAGGTACCTGTCTTGAGGTCCCAACACTGTACCCTTCCCTCTGCCACAGTGGCTTCCTGCCACCCTCTTCCCCAGTCAGGAAAGGGCTGGTCCCCAGAGCTCACCCAGAGAGCATCTTGCCAAGGCAGGGCATTCCCTTGAAGTTCTGGTCTAAGGATTTGATTACACTGTCTGCTCCTGATGACCCTCTGCGGTTGTCAGGCATGCATCCTTTGGAAGGAACTGTTTGCACAAAGAGACTCATGCAGGCATGCACCCCAGATGAGCTGCTAGACTACCCC